AGGTCCGGTAGGGAACACTGGGCGTGGATGGTCGTGGTTGAGGTCCGTCAGGGAACACTGGGCGTGGATGGTCGTGGTTGAGGTCTGGTAGGGAACACTGGACGTGGATGGTCGTGGTTGAGGTCTGGCGGAGGAGGACGACAAGGAAAAGGAGGAAAAGAAGAAGGAGAAGGAGATGGGGGCTAACATATAGATTAATAACGCTCACCTGACAGGTGGGGAATTAAATGTATATTTTAATTAGAATATTTAAAAACGGAATAAGGATATATTTATATACTAGTGTTAAATATTTTTATTTATGTATATATATATTTTTTGGAATATATTTGAAGGTTTGAATGTATCATTTTTTGATATAATTAATAGAATTTTTGTATTTGATAAATTAAGTGATGATGGATAGATTTATTGATTTAATTGAAAAAAAAATATATATATATATAATAGTAATTTAAATAATATATATATATATTGAATTATTTACCAATATATATATAGTAAATATATGTAATATATTTTATGAAATATAATTTATAGATTTTAATTGAAATTTAGGAGGATGGTCGTTAGAGGATTAATTTGATAGGAGAAAATGAAATAAATGATTAGGAGATGATTAAAATGAATGATTTCTGAAGAATTATAATATATTTAATAATGAATAAAAATTATTTAGGAAACAATATGTATTTTCTTTTATGAATAATTGAAATTTATATCGAAGATAGGAAAAATGCAATAATGGTATATTTTATTGTTTAGAATTTTGTTATAAAAGGAAAAATTATATAATTTGTAATTATTGAAAAAAATATTATTATTAGGGTAGAAAAGAAAATAAATTCCGGACGAAAATTTATACATTTATTCTATTTTCTTTGGATATCTTGGCCCGATATGGCCAAGATATGAATTAATAATTTAATTTTGTACGATAAATAATTGAATCTAATTATAGGATATTAACAATAAACAACGATTAAATGCCCCCTGAATTCCTTAGGGATATTTTTTATTTTTAAAACGCCCTTGAACCGAACGAAAAAAAAACAATTAGTATATTTTTATTATTTCCAATAATAATAGCATCATTGCTATATGCAATAACAATAATAATAATAATTTCTCCCCGATCCTCGCGTCATCTCAATACTAAACGCTTCTCGGGCCTTTCTTAGCAACATATCGATTTTATGAACCTATTTGCAGCGCAAGACAAAGCAATATTATATTAACGTCCCTCCGTTATTTGGGGGGTGCCCTTTTATTTTCACAATGACAGCAGGGGCATCCCGCCCCCCAACCTTTATTACGATTCTCCACTTCTACCTTTTATTTCCCTGTTCTTGACACTGTTCCAGCACGCTCTCGACTTCACCCCCCATTGTCATATTGATGTCTTCTTTCAACGGTTGATTTTCGTCCTTTCCCTTCTATTTATCTTATCTTGTCTATTGATTTAAATGTCCTTTGCACACTACCGAAGATTAGGGTTCAATCCTAATATCTTTGCTTTTACAAAAAGGGATTTTGCAAGAATTGATCGATGAATGGCCCCTCTCAGATACTTTTATTTATGCATTATTGCAACCCAAACATGTGTTGTATATCCAAATAGATAGATTTCCGAACCTCGATCATAAATGTTATGAACCGATTTTGTGGAATCGTGTTTAAGTATTGTTGCCGGCCTTTGACCACGCCAATGATTTTGATGTCACATGGCACAATTTTCATGCGGCTGCAATTTTTTTTACAAAGGCGAGGAACCACAGAGTGGTTATTATATGGCAACCCTGAGCACCTCATTCGGCCTAGAGTTAGTTGATGATGATATGTTGCCATTTCGCCAAATCTTCGTAAATGAAGTCATCGTCTATGAAATATTATTTTATTTTGATTGGTCCCTTCTGCCCTGGCTCACCAGCCATCGATGGAGGACGCCGATTTCCAGAATCATTGCGCCTGAGATTCCCCTGCATGACCTGCTCGGCGCAGCTTTTGGATCGTCATTGTTCTTTTTGGTTCGTCATTTCGTTCTCGTGAATTTGGCGATTAATCGTAACATTTTGTTGTCGATATTAATGGTTTTATTTTCGATTGTTCGAATTGTTGATGATGTTGTTTGGTGGTCATATGGTTGTTGTCGATGTCGTTGCTTTGTGGTTGTTGATAACTATGTTTTGTTATTTGTTATTGTCATTGGATTATATTATTTTGTTTATTGAATAATGATATCTTGAATATAAATCAATTATTTTGGAGGATTATATTTTTTATATTATATTGAATATTGAATTTATTAATTTTCGTTATATTAACAATATTAATATATATTTTTTTCAATAAATTAATAAATATATCTATTTTGTCGATGCAATTCTATAAATAGATTCGTGTTGTTCCAATATATATGTATTGAATATTTTGTATGTTTTCTTGGTTTTTGATTTTATATGAATAGTTATTTGAATATATGTAAAAGGTTATGAAACAATGAGAAATCCGATCACAAATATTTAGATAATATAAAATATACTATTTGACATTTGGGGATATGCAAAATCAAAATAGATATATTATATATATTTAATTTGTTTTTTATGAATTATATGTTCTAATATTTAAATATGCATTAGTAGAAATTTGGATTATAAATTATTCTATCTATTTTTCTATTTAGTCGAAATTTATTTGATTTTGCGTCCCATAAGTACGCAAAAAATTGAATAGTTATTCGAGGGATGGTGATTTTCTTCATGTAAATATCGATATGAATTATGATTTTATATCTAGGTGGTGATTATGATAAATTAAAAAATATGTTTGAGATGAATAATCGGTTGATTTAAGATATTTAAAGTTCATGAAATATCTTATATATAATCATTTTTAATAGTTAAGGCACATACAAAATGTGCAAAGAATTCCTTGATATTTCCTATTCTGTTGAAAATATATATTTTTTCTTTGTTTATATGTATTCAATAAAACGAGAAAATTATATAATAGCTATATAAAATATAAAATTGTATATTTTGATGAATAAAATCAATCCTTTCCTCAATTATATAAAAGTACATTTCATTTTTCAATACAACCGAAATATTTAAAGAAATCAATAATTAATTTTCCAGCACTGGGATCGATTTGATTTTGAATTTCAATGTTCATTAGAAATGAAATCTTTAGGAGATAATAAGAAATTTCGCCGTATTCTCAATTCATTAAACATAGAATATATCGTATAGTTCCTTTATAAAAAAAT